GAACAAGAGCTTGGGTGGTTCCAGAATTGGTTTTCCAACTCCCCTTGGCTAACGACCTTTTTTCCCTCCCTCCTAGGACCTGTTGTAGGCCTGCTCCTGGTCCTTGCCTTTGGGCCATGGGCACTTTTCTGGCTCACTTGGTTCATCCAAAGCCAAATAACAGACCTGTGGGCCAGGCAGATCCAGGTTCATTACCACTGTCTTGATATGCAGGACTCCAGGGTTGAAATTTCCCCTGAGGAGAGATGCCCCACACAGACCCCTTCACTCAGGGGAGGCTGCACCTGTGTGTGGGAGAAAGGCTTGCTCAAGGCATGATTGGAGTGCAGCTGGGACTGCACAGGCTGGGGACCATGGTGCCCCAAAATTCAGAGAACCTGGATTATATGCCCTGTTGCATAGCAGTTGTGCAGTAGCAGCCTTGTGCTTACCCATTTCTACTCCCTCAAAAAACTGCATGGTCCATTGATTCCCACATTATGGGGATGCCTGTGGTGCTTGAGTCTGGAGAGACATTCCCTCTCGACCTTTTTTTCACAACCTTTAAAGGGACAGGGCCTCTGTAATCCTCCATGCAAAGCCTCTTTCAGAGCCCTCCTTTTAGACCATTCAAACCTGGTTTATGTTGGCCCTTAGATTTATTACTAAGAAGGGGGAGATGTCAGGGACAAGGACAGAATCTTTAGTTAGTAGAAAAATACAGACCCCCGATAAGACAGGGAACTAGATCATCTTACAGTCAGGTTGCCTAGCAACAGGACATTGAGTAGAGCCCTTGACCTTTTCACCCTGTAAACATCCTACACAAACATCCTGTTAGCTTGCCCCACCCTATGCAGATAACAGCTTCTTGCTCCCCCCACCCTGCAGGAACTATATAAACCCTCCTGGAGAAAAATAAAGTTGCACCTTGATCAGAATCTCTCCTTGGTGTATTTCCTTTGTGTCTCCTGTCCCTATCATTCCATCCTTAGGGTGGTCGAGAACCCATTGAAGCCCTGCTGGCCAGGGCAACAGATCATCTTCAAACACTTCAGAGATTTACAGAATATGGCATTTAAGATGTTTTAATAACATAGATTTTTTTTTTAATGACAATGAGACATGTCTGCTCCTGGCAGCACCAGTCTACTTCAGAGAAGATGATGAGCACTGAAGAACCTCCATATGGAGTTTACTTTCTTTGTGGGAAAAGTTAGCTACTGGGCAAGAAAATGCTCTTGCCTCAACGGCTGACAGTATGCTGCTCAAGGTGGACAAGGAAGACACAAAAGAAAGAACTGCCAAATCTTGCCAAGACAAGGTAGGAAGACTGTAGTGGTATTTGCTCCAAAAATCCTGCTTCACAGATATGTCTGTCAGATATGCTATGCCTGTATGCCAAAAATGGAAGCCCCAATGTTGTGGAGAAATCTTGGGTGACTGTCCAGGTATCCAGTTGTTTCTGCCATTTCTCACATTTTTTGGAAGTTGCTTGTTTGTACTTCCTGCTTACTAGGTAATATTATTTTCTTCTTGGGTTTCTGATGGAGTTGAAGATTAGATAATTAAAGTTACAGTTTTCCTTGCTAACAAATTCAGAAAAGAAACTCACTAAAGAGGTGTAAAGTGTATAAGTTTGAAAGACATTAAAATATAGTTTTTTTTGTTGGTAACACAAGTTAGGATAAAAAGTGAATTGGGTTCAACACTTTGGACTCACCAAAATAAGATGATAGAGGAGCATTTTCTCTGGATCTGTAAAATGCTAATGGACTGAACATTGTTAATGTAATTCCTGACTGTATATATTGTATATACTTATTGTACTTATTGTATATAGTTTTTCTTACATTAGTTATAACCTTTTATTATTTTAGACAAAAAACAGGAAATGTGGTGATATATTGTGTACTCTAATAAAGCTTGCCTGAGGATCAGAGAACAGAGCCAGCAACTAGATTAGACATAGAGGTTACACAGTGGTGGCACACACCTTTAATCCCAGCACTTGAGATCTCATGCCTTTGCTTGGGAAGCACACATACCTTTAACCCCAGGAAGTAATATAGCAGGGCAAAGAAAGGTATGTAAGGCATGAGGAAACCAGAACCGAGACTCTTTTTGGCTGAGGCTTTTCAGGTGAAGACTCAGAGGTTTTCAGCCTGAGTATTTGTGGAAACAGGATCAGCTGAGGAGTTGGTGAGGTGAGGTTGGCTGTGGCTTGCTCTGCTTCTCTAATCTTTCAGCTTTTACCCCAATATCTGGTAATGGGTTTTTTAAATTATAAGACCATTTAAGATTCTGAACAACATGTAAGAGCTAGCTAATAATAATCCTGAGCTAATGGTGAAACATTTAAAATTAATATAAGCTTCTGAATGGTTATTCGGGAACAGGTGGGCAGGAGAGATTCATCTGGTTACAAAGGGGAGAAATATTCTCCCTTTTAGCCCTTCTAACCACATTAGAATAGCTTCCAAGAATGATTATTAAACACCTAGAAGATCAGTTTCACACCAGCTCATTATTTTTAACTACTGTATAATATTTCAACAGCCAGACATAACTCAATAAACTTTTGTTTGATATACATTTTAGTCAATCCTTGAAATAGTAGATATCTGATCTTGCCAACTTTAACACAATATATGATTCCTAAATCTCATCCTTTATGTACCTTAAACAACTTACTCAGACATTCATAACTTTTTTATTCTGGAGTCATCCAAACATTATCTTTATATTTCTAAGTCTTTCTTTACTAAGGCCATTTCCATATTTACATTCTTCCAATATATTCTTTTATGCACTTGTTCCTTTTTATAATACCATGAGGCATAGGAACATTAACAAATATGTTTATGATCTATTGTGGGAGTTTTCACCTCTGTGGAGGGGGATGAAGCAATGTCTATCCCATCCCATTGGGATAGACAATGTCTGTCCCAATGTCTTTGGTGGACTTTAAGCAAAGTCTACCCTGGGGAACCAATGAGTTTATGGAGCTTACTTACTGAACATGGCTGAAGAGATACTTACAGGAGTTTGGATACTTTGGTGATTTGAATCAAAATGGCTCCCATAGTCCTATAGGGAGTGGCACTATTAGGAGGTGTTGCCTTGTTGGAGGAAAAGTGTTACAGTTACTTTCTTCTGCCTGCTGATCTGGATGTAGAATTCTCAGCTCTTTCTCTAGCACTGTGTCTACCTGCAGGCCACCATGCTTCCTGCCATGATGATAATGGACCAAACCCTCCGAACCTGTAAGCCAGCCTCTGTGAAATGTTTTCCTTTGTGAGAGTTGCCATAGTTATGGTGTCTCTTCACAGTAATAGAAACTCTAAGATAGATACTCAAAAACAGCTATACAGGAATGTCTCCACTTACTATATACAATGACTCTCCCATAGCTGCATATGTAGAGCTTACCTTCTCTCTACTCTTCCAATTCCCATGTACTCTAGCATTGCATTACACTTCTCAGTGTAGATAGGAAGTAAGCCTGAGAGCTCAAGGTAAATTCCCACTTTTAAAGACGGCTTTCCAATAGGTGCATATGCAGAATCCAACTCCATCTAAGTCTTTCTGAGGCTATATACTCTAGCTCCTCCCACAAACCATAGGGTCATGTGTCATTAGGGCTGAATTGCTTACAGTTGGCTGGGAAAGAGGCTGTATACTCAGAAGAAAGGGAAACTTCCTTCTATGACGGAATATCAAGAGTCAGCAAACTCTGTGGTGGTCAATCTTTGTAAGCAGACACAGTTGATCATAGGAAGGTACCAACTGTCTTAAGATAGTTCTGAGCAACAAAAATTAAGTAAAAGAAACATGAATAAAATGGTGAATAAGATAATGTAATAAATTAATATTTCCTAGGTACAATTTGTTAAACTAAACCATAGAGAAAACACAAGACAGTCTTGTCTTCACATAATACATGGCATCACTACTATAACCATGCTTTTGGTTTTTAATGGATGTATGTAGGCAATACAAAGAAATAGAAAATACATGACAAAACATCATTGAATTGATGTATACACAGTACAACACAACTAAGAAATCCCTCTTAACACTATGATGTTCCAGCTTGCTATAGAGATATCTATACACAGAGGATCTCTCTATCCTCTCCATGGATGAACATCCCATTAGCTGTTCTAACCACAGATGTATGACTAATAACAGTATTCATAAAAGGTGAACAAACATTTACATCCTAGCATCCTAATTTCTAACAGGCATGGTTAACATATGGCTTATCTTTGGGGTATTTTAGATGCAGCCCTCCCTTAGCTAAATTCTCCATTGTGTGACTTACAAGATCCTAAGCATTGGTAAGTCTTTTATATCACCAATTCTATTCTTCTACATCACAGCTTAGTAGTAGAGTCTACTAAACATATGAGATGCCATTTACAATTTTCACAAAATTAACTCCAAATGGATCTTACACCTAAATGTCAAATTGGAAGTGCAGAACTTCTAGAAGACACTTGAGAAACTAGGCCTCTCCAAGTTTGGCAACTTGCCTAGGCCTCAAGAGCTTTCTCTAAGGCCCTGATGCAAAACAGTTCCTTCTCTAAAACCTGGAATATGCTTGGGAGAGCTGATAAAGGTCTAGGGCCAGGGCATTTGGGAAGGGGGTGCTTCAGATCCTGAGAACCCCACTCTTTCCACTCATTGGGCTGTGGTTATCAGTCCCAGCACCATTATGGACCTTAATAACAAAGTTCTTGAGTTACCCTGTGTTCCCTTTGTGCAACATTGTCTGATTAGCCTCCTGAATTTGTATACTTTCTTTTTAAAATTGTATCCATTGGTTTACATTAGCCAGAGACTTGTTGAATTTGGTATAGATCTCCAGTCAATTTGAGATAGGTCTGTGCTATGGGTGGAAGCCAGGGGGAAACTCCTGCAGTGTGTTCCTTCAGCTTACTGGGTCCTGTCATTCATACCTCACTAGCCAATCAGAGCCTCCTGTGGACGTGCCAGTTGGATGGGCGGATTCTTCCGGGCTCCAGGCTCAACTTCTCTGCTGAGGGAGACGGAAGTCGTCTCAGCTGCTGCGCCTCGGACTTCCCTGTGGGGAGAGTGTGGGCAAGCTTGGCAGCCACACCATGGTGAGTGAGCGGCTGCTGTTCCCAGACTGGAACGAGTGGCTGGCCATGGTGAATGAGGGATTGCTGTCCCCAGACTGGGTGGAGCAGCTGGCTGAGCTATGGGAGCCGGTGTGTTGGGTCCTCCCCTGCCTGGGTGGGAGCCAGTGGCTATGCAGAATTTAGCATGTTCCTGCATGGTCCTGAGTAGTCCTGAGTGGTGCTGCATGGTCTATCCCAGGGATTGGCTGGCAGCCAGTAACTTCACTTCACGGACTGCGTCTGCACCGGAACGGGACTGTGCTTAGAAATAGCCTTGTTGTTGACATCACTGTGAAATGCTGGCACCGTGGTGCTTGTATTGTCACTATGGAAGGCAGATTTGCCAAACTCGGAGAGTCCTGGTCTCTCTAGTATCTTCCAGAAGTTCTGCACTTTTAAAATTTAGGTTTAGGATCTGTCTAGAATTAATTCTGTGGAGGTTGTAAACAGTATCTTCCACTCCACTGCTAGACTGTGATGTGGAAGAGTAGAATTGATGATAATAAAATTGATACTATAAAGATTTACCAATTCTTAGGAGACATTAAGTCAAAAAGTAGAATTAAGATAAGGGAATGCTGCCTCCCAAATACCCCAAAGATAAGAGGTGTGCTAATCATGCCTGTTAGAGATTAGTATGATAAGATGTAAATGTTTGTTCACCAGGTTTAACTGGCCTTTAAGATACAGTTTCCATAACAATGGAGACAAGTCTGATTTACAACCAGCCAAAAGGCCCACAACCAACATTAAATCCTGGTGTGCCACGAAGATATATTAATTCTAGAACAGCTGCATCTCCAGTCGTTTTGAAAAGTGGTTTTGAGTCAAGGTCTCCTATGTAAATTGAGGTGGACTTGAAACCTGTCTGTAGACCCACAGGGCATTGCCCTTGCTCTGACTAGACATCCTAAATTCTGGGATTACAGATCTGTAGCACCACAGAATTCTAAAATTACCAATTTGAGTCACATAGTAGACTGTCCATTGCAGTAACGGAAAGGATTTTCATGTGGAGCATGGCTTCTCCCTTCAGTTCAGAAGAGGAAGAACAGTGTATTGTGTACACTGCAGGGATAAACAGACTAGACAGTAACTAGATCACAGACAAAAGTTTAAGGCAGTGAGCTGCAAGGGTCTCCATCATAAAGACAGACCTGCAGGAGCAGGGTGAGTGACTTTCTATGTAATTTAAGTCTTTGTATTAATTGCTTCCATGTACATGAAGACAGGCAGAATTGGTGGGTGTACAATTTAGGGAGGGTACCTTGAACTACTGAGTTAGGAAACTCTCCTATGCAGATATATGCAATCCTGGTTGACACAGTTAAGTCAGCTCAGAGGTTTGAGACACAGGACATCAGCTATAACTCCATGTGTCAGCTTATAGCACTCAACAGCTAACATTTCACATGGGACAAAGTCATCCAATGTCTTATTAATGGCATTTTCTCTACCAGGAAAGTACCTAGTCTTTTTCAAAGTCAGTATAGCTAAGTGTTTTTCCAATTATTTTTATCATTTTAAAAAGTCAGTTACTGGTTTCATTTTTAAAATTTCATTTTCTTTGAATGCATTACTGATCTAATCTCTGTTTGTTTCTATTTCCCAGTGTTTCCCAGCCATTAGGAATTTCATTCTGGTTTTTTCCTTAAGTGCTATTTATTTATTTATATGTATCAGTTTAGAGCAGTGGTTCTCAACTTGGGGGGTTGAGGCTCCCTTTGAGGGATCAAATGACCTTACCAAAGGAATGGCCTAAGACCATTGGAAAACATAGATATTTATATTACAATTCATAACAGTAGCAAATTGCAGTTATGAAGTAGCAATGAAAATAATTTTACAGTTGGGGGTGGTCACCACAATGTGAGGAACCATATTAAAGGGTCACAGCATTAGGAAGGTTGAGAACCACTGGTTTAGATCACTGTCTCCTGTAGCTCAGGCTTGCCTCACACTATGTAATTGAGAATTGCTTTGAACATTTAATCCTTCCTCTACTGCCCAGGGCTGAGAAGACAGTCCTGCAACTCCTTCCAGGCTGGGACTTGACTGGTCTATGAGAAGGAAAAATAGACCAGTGAGTGAGTGTCCTCCAACTTCTCTGACTTTTTTGGGGAACTTACAAATGAAGAAGGATCTGTGTAAGAAATGAGTTCACGGACCAACTGTAAAGCAAGTGTAGTCATAGCACAGAAAGGGAGGCAAGAAGGAGGGTAAATCTTTTCTGCTTTGACAGTAGTTGACATTAGCAATGAGCAGTGAGATAATCAATTTTAGATGATCAATAAATGTCCTGACTGGCCATTTATCTGGTTTACAGACCAGGCAATCAAGAACTGGACAAAGAATTGAACTTTTGTGAAAACAAATTACTGTAGTTACACTAGTTCAACCAGAATAGAACTGGATAAAATGCTATGGTCCTGCATAACATGATAGGTTTTCCAGGTTTAAGATGTATAACCTGAGAGAAATGATGTGAGTAGTACTTGGTATGCCCTAATACAAATCCCTTGTCTCTAGAGCACATGGCCATAAAGCCTGATTCAACTTTTTAACATGATTTTTTTAGGATTATGATGATATTATTTCTACTACTTTTCCTGCATCCAAGTCCTCCCAGAGACACTTCATTGTTGTCTAATCCATGGCTTCTTTTTGCTTTAACAACAGTTACTGTTTGAATTTGACATGCGTTTGGCTGTAGGACCTCTGAGCTATGAAGTAAAGGGTTGACTGCACTGGACATTGAGTGTGTAATGGAATGTGCACACAAAGGACCCTGTACCTTGGAAGAGGAACAGAAAGTGTTTTGGAGAAGAGGAGATTCTACTAAACTACACTTTTCCCAGACTAGGTCCCTGTGTGACCTTAGGGTAGAAGGGCAGAGCTGTGAGGGCCTATGCTGTCTTAGTCATTTGATCTCTACTCACTCAGTGGGGTAACTGCTGATGTCTGGACCCCCAACTGGGTGGTCCTAACTCTGGGAAGACTTAGCGATCAGGAGTACCAGTAGGAGGTAGGTTCTTTTCAAGATTCTCTTGTGTAGGATTCTCTTCTGTTCTGTAGGGAGCCTTAAGGACGACTACAAGCCAGGAGGAACAAGTCTGCTGAACTGTCAGAGCTGCTGGGACTGGGATGGACCATGAGACAGACTGTGTTTCTCTTGATCCATGTCATGACTTGGGCAGTGGCCCTTGGCTTCTGAGCCTTGCTGAATGTGGATTCCCTGGGGAGCAGGAGGTTCTGTTGCCTTGGCATGGGAGGCTAAGATGCTGGTAATATCACTGTCCAGTGTGCACACCCAGGCACTGCTTTTGGTATGCAGTGGGAAGACAGATTGGAAAACTGAAGATCTGGTTTCTAGAAGTTTTGAACATTGCATTCCACTTTCAGTTGTCTTATAAATGTTACAGATAGTTTAGAAACTGATAGTAAGGAGGTGATGGGGATCATCCTTCAGCAATATGTGATTAGAATGCCTTCAACTTTCTGCTACCACAAGCCACGATGGTGTGATTCAGGGAAGTTCAGTTCCAGTGCACAAAAGAGGTTTCTGAGCTGCAGAGGTTTCTCAAGTTTACATGGTATTGGGCAGGTGGATAGGGCAGATGCCATATCTTGTGCCTTAATCCATGTGGCAGAAGGCAGACATTAAATTATTTTTCTATATTGTTTTGTGATTGGACATCATTGGGGCTGGGTTTGCATGAAAACACAGTGGGTATGAGGGCCTGTAGAGCCATAGTAGGCTCTGGAGATGATCATCTCCATTTGCAGAGAGGTCTCTAGAGCATATGGCCTTTCTGTTTGGAAGAAATATCTGCCAAGGACTGGTCCACCGGGAGTACCATGACCATAGGAGAATCAGGGCTTGGGTAGTCAGGAAGGCAAGGATTCGGCAAATGACAGACAGACAACACACTCAGAAGTGGTTTGAATCTGCTGGAATATGGACTCTTGTACTTTTTCACCTGTAAGGGGAAGGGGTTCTGCTGTAGTCCTTAAGTTTCCCATGCTGAACTTCCTCAACAGAGGGGCCCATCATCTGCCTCCTATGAGATAACGTTTTTTACCATATGTCACTTTAGTTGGGATTCTTAAAGGATTCCTAGTGGGTGAGTGTTCATTCCCTAGAAGTGCCTGAACCTTTATACTTTCTTTATCTAGCAGCTTGGGGTCTTTAAGAAATAGCTCATTTTGTTATATATGATTAAGATCCATGTCCAGCTTCCCCTTTCCTCCATAGTTCACAACCCAAGCATTCATTAATTTTGGCTGTGCTTCATAGATTAATTAGAACATTATCAGAAAAGCAGTTATACAGAACCCATAGCCCAGGGAGCTCATGATCCGTGAAGCACGTCTTCTTCGAGGGCACTCTGCCAGGGACCTCCAGGGATCTTAGTCCCGTGGGACACGTATCTCCCATCTGCTATTATAGACATAATTGTTTATGTCACACAGACGACACTGGAGTTGGTGTGGCATTTCTCGGTTTTTTTGTTTTTAAGATGTAGCTCCAGCAGATCACGCCTCACTGTGTGTAGGGAACGTAGGATAATTCTGAAAAGACAAGGAAATAATAACACAACCAAAAGAAAAATAAGAATCAATATTCCAATGAATGCAAAGCATTGTGTCCAATCTAGAGGATTAAGAGAGCAGACATCTGACTCAAGATCATGAGCTAAGGCATTCAAAGTGCCATTCTCCAAATCAGCTTTGCTCATAATCGCAATATCTTTTTGTAAAGCTTTCATGTTATGAGTGGTATTTGAATCCTTTTAGACTTTTTGTAGATGATTTTTTACCTTTTTCCAACTTTGTTTTTGTTTGTTTGTTTGTTTGTTTGGTTTTTGTTTTGTTTTGTTTTGTTTTGAGACAGGGTTTCTCAGTGTAGCTTTGCACCTTTCCTGGAACTCGCTTTGGAGACCAGGCTGGCCTCGAACTCACAGAGATCCGCCTGCCTCTGC